CCCTTGTCACCTTGTAAGGGGTTGTTTTTTCAGTTGCTCCACACGATATATACAAGAAAATTCTACTTTCTCTCTAACATACTCTCTTGATATTATTGATTTCATTTATTATATTCATAGTTGTTCTTCATTTATTGCTTATCATTGATCATAAAGAGCCTCCGTTAATTTTACTATAACTGTTAGCTTTATTCCAACCCCCCTCGATAGCTCCCTGCCGAGCTTCGGAATCGACCTCGAGGCCCCGAATCGGCAAGCTAGAGGCCACGATAATTGGCCTATCGGTTTGGTTATCACTTTGCTCCTTGCTTTTATCCCATTTCTAAACTCCACACATAGCATCAACTACTTAACAAACTAGTATAAAAATAGATCACGTATTTCTAGAATCCCATAATCAAATTTAATTGTTATTACCATTTTTACGGTAAACAGTTTGGCGCCCAACGTGGGGCTAAACTAATAGTGATTATTTTCTTGCTGGTCTCGTCACACAACGCAAGTTATCTTTCATGCTTTTTCTTGTCCATGATCTTTGATTTCAGGTCAAAATGTCTAACTCAGTGAATAGAGGCGAAAGCAATAATCTCGAGGACCATAGAGAGAACGACGTGGATGTCCTAGGTGTTGGTGTGCCACCACAAAACCCTGGGAATGCGCCAGAACCAATACCCGTGGATGCGGTATCACGCGACGCGCAACGCATCGATATAAGCTCGCATATCGACAGGAGCGTGCGTCAGGGAGATCCACAAGAAGCTCAGAAAACCCCCACCAGGGAAGAGCATGAGGTTAGCCTTCATGTTATTTTTGAAATGTTTCAGGCACAACATCTAGCTATTGCTCAACTGCAAAGTCACCAGAAAACTCCTAGCACGGTAGCACTGGGGACAACTCCCCCAGCCGAACATGTACCAGAGAGATCGAGCAATAACGGGTCGATGACCGATCCTGCCATTGTAAAAATGCTTGAGGACCTCACCAGAAGGATGAAATCAGGCGAGAAAAGGATAGAAGCCAACAACAAGAAGGTCGAGACCTACAACTTCAGGGTTGACCAAATTTTGTGCGCACCCCTAGTCCTGAAAGGTGTGGATTCGAAAAAGTTCATACAAAGGTCGTTCCCAAAGGAAGCAGCCCCGAAACCCATTCCAAAGAAGTTCAGAATGCCAGAACTCCCAAAATACAATGGAACCTCAGACCCCAATGAGCACGTTACTGCTTACACTTGCGCAGTGAAGGGCAACGACATAAAAGACAACGAGATCGAGTCCGTCTTACTGAAGAAGTTCGGGGAAACACTCTCGAAGGGGGCCATGATGTGGTATCACAACCTACGTCCTAACTCCATAGACTCATTTGCCATGCTCGTGGACTCCTTCATAAAAGCACATGCCAGTGCCATCAAAGTGGCAACGAGAAAATCCGATGTCTTCAAGATCAAGCAAAGAGAGAACGAGATGCTGCGAGAATTCGTAACCCGCTTTCAAATGGAACAAATGGAACTACCACCGTTCTCCGACGACTGGGCAGTGCAGGACATCACTCAAGGTCTGAATGAACGAAGCTTGATGGCTTCAAAGTAGCAGAAAAAGAATTTAGTCGAATATCCAACCGTGACCTGGTCGGAAGTCCACAACTGATACCAGTCAAAAATCAGGGTCGAAGATGACCAGTTGGGAGCCCCCTCGGGCTCAGTATACCCAAGAAAGATCTTGGCGAAGTAGCCAAAGCCAAACAAAGAAAGAAATCAACCATACACCAAATATAGAAGTAACTCCCCAAGGCGCAACCCACCTCGTAATGATCGAAGGATAGACCGAGGACAAAATCCCCGGGGACTCATCAACAGAGCCGGATTCGATAGGAGCGCGGGGCCAACGGAGGTGCCCCGCTTATCAGAATACAACTTCAATGTTGATGTATCAGACATCATGTTCACCATCAGCAAAATTAGAGATGCTAGATGGCCCAGGCCTATACAATCAGATCCCTCGCAAAGAAACCATAACTTAGTATGTGAATTTCACAACACACACGGCCACAGGACCGAGGATTGCCACCAACTCCGAGAAGAGGTAGCCTGACTATTTAACTAAGGTCACCTCTAGGAATTCCTCAGCGACCGAGCTAAAAATTAGTTCTGAGAAAGAAAGGCGGCCAAAACGAACGAAACAAATGAGCCACAACATGTCATCCACATGATTTTGGGAGGCATCGATGCCCCACAAGAGCCCGTGATGAGGAAAACAAAAATATCTATCGTCAGGGAAAAGCGAACTCGGGGTCACATACCCGAGGACGCTCTCACATTCAGCGACAAGGACATCGAGACCTTGCCTCAGCCTCACAACGATGCACTGGTAATCTCTTTCCTTGTAAATAAATTTCAAATTAAACGTGTACTTGTGGATCCAGGTATCTTGGTCAATAGTATCAAGTCGAGGGTGGTAGAGCACCTCGGACTGCTCGACCATTTCGTGCCCGCCACTCGGGTCCTCAATGGATTCAACATGGCAAGTGAAATAACAAAAGGAGAAATCATCATCCCAGTCAACATTGCCGGCACGACCCAGAATGCCAAATTCCATGATCGATGGAGACATGAGATACAACACCTTACTAAGAAGACTGTGGATACACTACATGAGAGCAGTACCATCCACCCTCCATCAAATGATGAAATTCCCGACAAAGGATGGGATAAAAACCGTCTATGGGGAGCAACATGCGGCAAAGGAAATGTTCGCAGTGCATAACATAGCACCAATGTCGATACTTCCACCACCAAAGGAGCCAAAGGATAAGAAAATGATAAAATAGCGATGGCAAGTTAAATTCTCGGCTATGCCTGACTTAACGAAATGAAGGACCGTACCGAGTCCTCATAATAAACGATAGAGTCACACCGAGATCCGAAGCGCCATTTGCACTAAGGTATGATCGTCTCTCTTTTTCAGTTGCATTTTATACTAACCAGAATGCAGGTGACCGGTCGAAACAGCCAAAGCTCTTCTTAGCCCGAAAGCCTTAGTTTTGAAAAGCATGCGTTGTACTCTTTTCCTTCAATAGGGTTTCATCCCGAGAAGGGTTTCATCGACAAGGTTTTTAACGAGGCAACATCTATGGGCTACCTAAGGAAGATCCAATTAGTATTCAAGGCGTCTTTTGAAATCAACCTCGCATACTGAGGGCCATCCCCCCAGGAGGCCATCCACTCGGAAAAGCTAAGAAACGTCAAATGGGGTCCTGATAGGAAAGTGATGTACCGGTCCAAATAGTCGAACGAACCATGTCCGTATAGCCGGGCCCCCGATGGCAAAAAAATGTACACTTGTACCAAATAATTGAAGAATATCTGTTATCAAAGCATCTCACACTCCAAATGAAGCTCGACACCTCCACAAAAATGACTTCTCCGCCGAAAATGTCCCGAACACTTGGGGACTGGCGTCAACAATTCAACACCTGTACGACCTCTGGGTCGGGACACCAAGCTCGTAATCCCTTAACAAGGCAACATGAAAATCAAGAAACGTTTCCGAGGCCGAAAGTACCCCTATTACTCGGGGACTGGCGTCAACAATTCAACACTTGTATGACCTCCGGGTCGGGACTCCAAGCTCATAAGCCCTCAACGAGGCAACATGAAAATCACAAAATGTTTTCGAGGTCGAAAGTGCCCCAAATACTCGGGGACTGGCGTCAAAATCTTGAAAAATGCACGACCTCAGGGTCGGGATCTCTGAAATTGTAAGCCCTCAAGGAGGCAATACAAAATTTACAAGTATCAGCTTTTGAGCCAAGGTACCCTCAATGACTCAGGGACTGTCGCCAATCGCCATTCATTAAAAAACCCGAGGACATAAGACCTAGAACAGGCAGACTCGGTTTCCTAAGACCTATATAAGGCAACAACTATATCTGTAAGACCTCAAGCAAGGCATGAACCTCACTTGTACCAAGTGACAATATCTGTAAGACCTCAAGCCAGGCATGAACAATACTTGTACCAAGTATCCAAAACTATAAGACCTCAACGTCATGTAAAGCTTGTAAGACCTTACTAAAGGCATAAGCCCGATCTAAAAGTTTCGGCTATATATTGAACTTGTAAGACCCCTAAAAAGGCATACCCTTGATATAGATGCCGAAACTACTTCAATCGGGACTCAAAGGCTCCGGCCGAACATAAGTGACTCCGGTCACATGGCTGTACCAGCCAAACTAACGCAACTCAGGGATGCCCGACGGTCACTACAAAATCACAGGCCTTCAATTACTTCGAATCTACTTCGAAAAGAACCAGTTAAACAGGCTACCCTCGACATAGGCAAAAGAGCTTCGACCATGTCAGCTCTTAAACATCGGCTTTGAGATACTCAGCCTCCGAGCCAAAACCTCCTAAGGTGCTCAATCATCGCCATATAACGACTCACAATCGAGGTTTTTTATTAAACCGTCGAAGAGTAAGGCAAACACTATTTATTCTTATCGAGAGAAAAATAAAGTCCACAAGGTCGCATCGACCAAATGCGTAAGAGCCATTGTCACCAGCCTAATGAGCCTCAGGGCCACACACATGAAAGGTCGCTTCGACCCAAGGCGTAAGAGCCACTATCGCTAGCCCACACAAATACAAAACTTGAGGGTGGAATGAGCTTGGGTCGTAACTCGATTCGGAAACTGAACCCAAAATAGTTAACTAAATATGCTTAAGAGCAAGGCGTAAAAGCCATTGTCGCTAGCCCACACTAAAAGGCCGCATCGGCCCAAGGCGTAAGATCCATTGTTGCCAGCCCATACTAAAATGCCACATCGGCCCAAGGCGCAAGAGCCATTGCCGCCAGCTAACATAAAAGGTCGCATCGACCAAGCATGTAAGAGCCTACAAGCAATCCTAATGAGTCCTAGGGTAATACCACGACTTTAAGGATTCCTACAAACCCAAAGACCAGTTCACATGGCCAAATTCGAGACAAAAAGAGATACAAAAGAAGTAAAGTAGCAAGGTTTTCTTTTATACATATATGCGAAAGAACACAATCTCCATCTACAAACTTGCTTTGAAAATGCTACATGTAGATAGCAAAATCTATGCCTCCCCTGGGGGCTACGGCTTGCCGGCCTCATCTTCGCTTTGTTTAGCACCGGGCAAAAGCAACCGAGCATCACGCTCTTCCACCCTCGCTTGTGCCAACAGATTTCCTCGAGGGTCTTTCTTTGAGATTTACAGTGAGCGTATTCTTCAAAACTCTCTTCGCAGTCGAGGATCCTTCTCAGCTCAGCTTGAGAATCGGCAGCATCCTATGAATAGTTCGCCATCTCCTGGTCATCCTTAGTTTGGCTTATTGCTGCTTCAGCTCGGGCATCAACGATTTCAGCCCTGACCTTCAAAAGCTTAAACTCGAGCTTCGTAATCATTTCTGTCTGAACCAAAGCGTTGTCGTGTGCTAAGCACAGTTGAGCCTCAAAAGTAGGAACTTTAGTCAGAGCATCGTTCCCCTCTAAAATCTGAGCCTCCGCACGAGCATTTAGCTCATCAAGCTCACGCCTGGCCCGGCCAACTTCATCCCGAAGGCGCTCCAAGGCCTGCTTCTTTTCCTACAACTGAAATAAACAAAGTATTAGCCTCGGGAACTAGAAGGCGGGATGCACGCTCACCCGAAACAGAAAAGTACCTGCTCCTTCAAGTAGCACTCATAATTCAAGCTCCGGCATACCTCATATCGCAAGTATACCAACTCGACCTCCTTTTCATCACAAAGGAGCCTAAGGAATGAGCTTTCCGCAGCCTGGCTTCGTGATGAAGCAGCCCGGACTTAAGCTTGTCGAAGACCTGCAAAAGAAAACCTAGTAAGGAAGGGAAGGCACTAAGCCCGAAAGGCTTATGAAAAAACTCACCGCAAAGTGAAGCTGCCAGTCTTCCTCGAAGGCCGAGCGCACACCTACCAATCCAGTTCCTTCAGCCTTGGAAGAGTCAACTCTAGTCGAAGCACGGTCGCTCAGTGTATGCGACCCCAGATTTCTAGTATTCCTTGAAGTAGTGTCGGCGGAAAAAGAGGGAGACAACAATGGAAAAACCACCTTTCTAGGGCCAGGAACCATGGATGCGGCAGGCTTGGATGATGCTTTTGCTCCGAAGCCCCTATCCCGTTTTGCCTCACCCTGAACGCCATCACCCTGTAAAAGTATCTCTATCTTATTGTTGTCATTCTTTAGCCCGGAAGCTGGCAACCCTTCCCCCTCTCCAAAGGAGCCGACCTCACCTCATAAGGTTCTCTGATGCCTACAACAACGGGATTAGTACACATAAAGGGAAAATGCCTCTCAAATGAAGGAAGGAGAAGGAAAAAATAGCGCAACACGCACCATGATATTTTACTTCCTATCTGCCTTAGGACAAAACTCACCATCTCTGCTCGTCACAGGTCGAGTAGATCGCCAACTTACGAACCCAATCTAGCAAATCAGGAACGTTGCTCGGCGCCCACGAGACCGCTGTAGGAAAAGAAAAGAAGGCATGGTTACAATACCAGCTTTCGCCTTAAACAAAACTGAGAAAGCACAAAATGCACCACTTACGTGTATAGTTCCATTCCTCAAAGAATGGCATAAGCTCCATGGGGATGATGTCAATAGTCCACACTCGAATGAAGCGACTCATCCACTCCCAGTCTCTATCTTCCTCATCATCAACAATGAAGGGCGTGGTAGATCGACATTGCAAGGTTAGCAGAATTCGATGGTGAAAGGGGTTGTACAATCTAATGAGAAGACTGAGCGTAAATTTAAGCCCCGCCTTCTCCACGAAAAATATCACCATAAATACTGTTTTCCAAAATGACTGATGGAGTTGCACCAAGGTAACCCGATACTTCAAACAAAAGTCGAGCACGACCCTGTCAAGGGGGCCCAGTGTGAAAGGGTACATGTACACTTTGAAGAATCCATCGGCGTAATCCGTGATGCCCTCACCTGGGGGAAGTATCTGTAACACTACCTTTCCCCTCCATCTGCAGTCTTTTCTCACTAACCCTAGATGTTTTTCTCTTATCGAAGAAGCAATCTTAAAGGCATACTCTCGTTGGTCCTTAATGTTGGAGGCAGAGCTTTCCCTTTTCTGCCAGGTAGACCCTAATGCAGCAGTCATGGCTATGGAAAAATTAGAGAACTAAAGTGGGAATCTATGAAAGTACATTAGTACTGAAATAATAAAAGGTTTGACACAGAAAGAGAAGGGCAATTTCTTAAAATAGTGAGATCTCCAAAAGAGTATAAAACATCTTATTTATACATGGAAGAAACGACGACGATCCGCCTGCCTCAAAGCCGTGTAGGGACACTGACCGATGTCATCTTCGCCAGTCCCGACGTGGTACCTGACCTCGAGGACCTTCATCAATGAGAAGTCAGACTCTAAAAAGCCAACGGTGTCATCACCAGTCCCGAGGTGGTACCGGATCTCAAGGACCTCCATCAAAAAGAGGTTAGGCTCCAAGGAAATAAGCACTTAGGCTCCACCCGTATGGGCTTGCCCCTGGGACACCATCTGAGATCGGACAAATCCTCTTTTAAGATCTATCTATAGTGCCTTAAGGCTATTTACACTAAGATCAAAGCAAGTTTCCAGGTGGTCCGGATTTGAACGAACCTCCACTCGGGGACTGCCCTTGAAAGATCAAAGGCAGTCCCTATCCACGGGCCTCCGAGCAAATTTCTCCTCAAAATTTACAAAAGAGCCTAAGTGATAAATCACGGTTTCAAGGCTCGAAGCATTACTTTCATTCCACTTGAAAATAGCAAATAACATCCGCATTTGGGTTCAACATTGACAATAGCCGATAGAATCATGCATTCAGAGTCTCCATAAATGAAAATAAAAGGAAATATAGCAAACATCAAAGACAAAACTAGGAAAACATCTTTATAATTAGAAAACTTGATTACAAGATCCGTGGGGGTTCCTTACACAGAAACCAAAAAGCAAAGAAGGTACATGTGCAAGAGAAGCCTAGAGTCTAATCAATTCTCGAGCGTGATCCCCTCGGGTATGCATCCTAATTGGAAGCATCTTCTACCACCACCGCCTCTAGGGGGCTTGTCTCGGTCTTCCAAATCAGTGTCTTCATTGTAGAAGATGAGGAGGAGGAAAGTGGAGAAGCAGGAGGGGATGAAAAAACACCATAGTCACCAAAGGACGAGGACCCTCATCGGCCAAGAGAACCTCGAACCGGTAAGAGACTTGGCAAGTGTTGGCCTTACTTGCACGACTACTTTGAATCCACTTCTTGGGACATTGAGTCGTGCAAGCTACCGGTTGGGGGCGAAATGCCACACCGAACCAGGATATGAAGGTGAGCAGCGGTGTATAATCCGAGCACCCTCATGAGTAGCGGTGTATAGTCCAAACACCTTCCCAAGATGGAAGAGATCAGCCTCCTTATCTCATCGTCTCGAGCCAACAATGATAGCAGTGATGACCATAACAACAACAACAACAGCGACGAGATAGTATAATCTCGCTCAACGATGAAAAGCCCAGGCAAAGGGCCATGGACCCCAAACATGGTATGTAGCAATGAAGGAGAATAATGGGTAGAAAGGAATGGAAAGATATTGAAAAGCACTTGGATAAAAAGATAATACCGGAAGGCCCCATTTATAGGGGATGATAATTTGACCAACAATGCCATCAATGCCTTTGAAAGATGGATCGACAGGCGCAATCAATGCGTTATTGGACACCGAGTTGATGGTGGTAATGTCGCTCTAAAAAATGGGAATCGGCATCGTATTGAATGGCGTTGAAAAAATAAGTCCATGATACGCCCCAGTTATCGCAAAGGCTTATGTCACAAGTTGATACCATTAGTATGACGCCATCATAGGAAGCCCGAAGAGTCGAATGTCAAAATCGTTTCTTGTCGCTTCTCCCTAAGAAACGTGGGGATTATTTGTATACGGAGAAATCGAAGAGGCCAATTTGTCGTTGTTAAGTCATCTTAGAAAATCACCTCGAACGCTCGAGACCATGGACCAAGTACCCTCCCTCGAGGGTTATCGACACTTGAACTATGGATAACGAGGACCTCGGCGATGGTAGGAATGGGAAGCTCCCTAGGAATACGACTAGGACTGACAAAGTGTAGTGGACTTGTTTAAGACCCGAATCAGGGTGTCCTCTAGTTGTCACATCTCCGTATCTTTGTAATTAATGCTTGTTGTACTATGATGGGATTCCCTTCCTATATAAAGAGAATCCTTCTCACCTTGTAAGGGGATGTTTTTTCAGTTGCTCCACACGAAATATACAAGAATATTCTACTTGCTCTCTAACATACTCTCTTGATATTATTGCTTTCATTTAGTATCTTCATAGTTGTTCTTCATTTATTTCTTATCATTGATCATAAAGAGCCTACGTTAATTTTACTATAACTGTTAGCCGTATTCCGACCCCCTTCGATAGCTCCCTGTCGAGCTCCGGAATCGATCTCGAGGCCCCGAATCGGCAAGCTCGAGGCCCCAATAATTGGCCTATCGGTTTGGTTATCACTTCGCTCCTTGCTCTTATCCCGTTTCTAAACATAACACATAGCATCAACTGCTTAACAAACTAGCGGAAAAATAGATCACGTATTTTTAGAATCCCAAAATCAAATTTAATTGTTAGTACCATTTCACGGTAAACATTTCTGCTATTGCAAGTGCGGGTCATTTACCCTATCCTCCGACCCTCTAGCTACCTGAGCCGGAGCCAATTTTTGCTCGAAAACTACTAATAAAGCCTTAGGGCTATTTCTCTCCTTCGGGTAGAGTTAAATGTCCTCTCGGTTACTTTAATCTACGGGCAATTCGAACCCTCGTCCGCGATCTATCTGTAACGCCTTAAGGCTATCTTCGCTCTAAGTTCAAAACAAGTTTTCAGGTCGCCTGAGCTTGAGCAAACTCTCACTCAGGGACTGCTTTCAAAAGCCTAAATGCTATCTTTATTCTTAGATGTCTAAGCAAGTTCCCTTTCGAGGACTATCGACGGGGTATGAAAGGTTTAATTTCGTTCTATAAATTCAAAGCTCTATTCTCACTCGGGGTTCCCGGTAGCCTAAGCTTGTATCAATCCAACCCGGGATCAGTCCAAGGAGCGACGAAGGGATCCACGGGATATTGTATTAACCAATTAGGAGCCGGGGAAATACCTATACCTGGGCCCAGTATTCGGACCGATCGGTATAGTCATGCACTCAGATTCTTCATAAACACAAATAAAAGAAAATCCAGCATAAATCAGAGACAGATTGAAGAAACTTCTTTGCATTAATAAACAATGATTACAATAAGCCCATGAAATGACCTTACACATGATTACAAAAGACTATGAAGGGTCCTTACACAGAAACAAAGAAGCAAAAGTAATAGCTAAAAGTCTAATCTACTCTCGAGGGTACCTCCTCGGGAGCAATGCTTTCGAGAATCATTTCTTCGGGGCCTCACCTCGACTTTCCAAATGGCATCTTCAAGGATGAGGAAGAAGTAGAAAACGATGAAGAAGAAGCAGAAAAAGATGAAGAAGTGACTATGTGAAAAATTTGGCGAGTATGGGTCTTGCCAACGCCACTATTGTGAAGCCACTTCTTGAGACGTTGCACCGGTGCGGGAAGCAACAGTTAGTAGATGGAACCATCTTACTCCACAGAAAGCAAAAGGAGTGATGCTCCGCACCGGGTAGTTAAGAGAGATGAGTATAAGTTCATAGTCTGCATATCTTTTAATACTGATATAATTTGAGATTTCTCTCATTATTTCGGGCCAACAACAACAACAAAAACAAACCAGTGCAATCCCACTCAGTAGGGGAAAGCTCTAGGAAAGGGCCATGGCATAACTGATGAGAACACTGTCGTATGACCTTATAGCCACGTGCTTCAAACATGGGAAATAGTGTTGGATGAGGATGAAGGGAAGAAAGGGGTAAAAGGTTGTTGAAGAGCATTTGAATAAAGTTTTGATTCAAGAAAGCTTCCATTTATAAAAAGGGTGGAAGCATAACCAACGGCGCAATCTATGCCTTTCAAAAACGTACCGACAGGTGCAATCAATGCGTTTTAGGAAATGGACCGAAAACGATACTATCGCTTTGGAGAATATAAAACAGCAGTATATTGAATGATTCTGGAAAGATGAACAGACGAGATGCCTCAGTTATCACAGAGGCTTATGTCATAAGGATGAAATCATCGCAGGAAGTTAGAGGAGATAGATATCATAGTCCTTTCTTATCGTTTCACTCTAAGAAACGCGGGGACTATCTGTATACGGTAAAATCAGAGGGTCCAATTTTTTGTCATTATGACGCTTCATAAGCATGTTTCCAAAGGCTCGAGGCCATGGCCAAGATTTACACCCGAGGGGTTATCGACATCCAACCTCGGGGCAGTGCAGGTAGATAGTTATGGTGAAAAAGTGGGAAGTTCCCAAGGCATGTGACTAAAGCTGACCAAGTCTATTTGGCTAGTTCAAGTCTATACTATGGCATTGAATGGATATACCTACCATGTACCTTTGTAATAAATGCATTTGTACTATGTTGGGATTTCCCCTCATATATAAAGGCGACCCTTGTTATTTTGTAGGACATCTGATACACAATATTGAATATACAAGGACATTACCTCTACTTTCTAACTTAACATATTCTCTTGATTTCATTACTTACATTTATTGCTTATATTCATCGTGTTCTATTTATTGTTCTTCAGTTATTGCTCATTATTGATCATAACGAGCCACCACCGCAACTCTCATAACTATTAATCCTCCCTTAATTGCCCTAAGTCGGGCATCCGACTAGACCTCGATGCCTCGTATACGCCAGCTCGAGGCCCCGATTTCCAACCATTCGGTTTGGTTATTACACTACCTACAAGCTCTTATCATATCTTCTAGTTTTTCACTTAGCATTCATTTCCTAACAACTAGCATAAAAATAGATCACATATTTTTAAAACCACAAGATCAAATCTAATTGTAATTACCATTTTCAAGGTAAACAAATAACACTCCCTACTGGACACATGCAAGACATGATTGAGGCAATTTTTGTAAAATGGCCTACGTGGCCAAAAGTTGCTATTAGTGCAAACTCGACAAAGGTGACGTTAAAGACATGGAAAAATGACTTTGCCGAAATGACCCATTTTGTAGAAATGGCCTATGTGGCCAGAAAATGGCTAAGCATTGCAAATTCAACAGAATGGAACCCTAAATAGATAGAACACCTTGTTGTGGACTTAGGACTCTAAGACATGGGTTAATTGAACCACTTTTGCGAAAATAGCCTTATTTTGCAAAATGACCAATGTGGCCAAAAGTGGCTAGATATGCAAATTTGACAAGGATGAACCTTAAATTGAAGAGACACCTAATTATGGACTGAAGACTCTCCAGACACAATTAAACAAGCCACTTTTCAAAAACAACCCTATTTTGCAAAACAGCCGATGTGGCTAAAAGTGCCTAGAGATGCAAGATTTGGCTACGACCCTCGAAGCCAAGAACCTAAGACTCACTAGGGAGGCCGAATCAGATGTGGGCTGCCTACATATCCTGCCCTGAAAGACGAGAATCAGGTATGCGTAGTTATGGAGGATTGGATACGGGTGAGAATAATAAATAAAAAAACAACTGATTTGGCGAAAACATTTTTTTGTCTTTCTTTTTTTAAATATTTTTTTTTGGGATTTTTCATTTTGTTGTCTTTTTCATATAAAATGTGAAAGAAAAACATAACTAGGCCCTACTTGCTTTATTATCACACTTCACCCTCTTTTCTTTCTCATTTACCCTCAATCATCATTGGTCCGCCAAATGATCTATTTACCCTTGAAGAATGCAACATGTGTAACATAAGATGCATCAGGATAATCTTTTATTTTTGGGTACACATGTCCTAGATGAACCCATCCCCTGTGTTGAGTCCCTTAATCAAATGCACGTGATGCAAACAAACGTTCCTATAGGGGATCCGACATGAGGCTATGTTATTCTAGGTTTAAAATTTGGGTGTATTGTTCTAGAAGTGGCTTACCCGAGCGGACAACTTGAGCCGAAAGGGGCCGGGAGCATACCGGGACTACAGAAGCTTCACCGGCTTTGCAACTTATCTGAACCTCGTTCTAAAATTGGGATATGACTTTAACAGAAACGAAGCCACACGAAATGCACGCTTCCCAGATGATTTAAAAGACTCAGAGAGAAGAAGGTTTCGTAATAGTTTGTATACAGTCCAAGCAATATCAAAGCGGTAAAAAGTGACATTTAGCATATTAAGCTCAAACACATAAAAATCAGATAATAAATAAAAGCTAACTATAATAGTTATTCTAAGCTCGAATTCTAAACCCTGAACTAGAAGTTCTGGGTTCTTATCCCCAGCAGAGTCGCCAGAGTTGTCACACCTCCTTTTTCCCGGAAGGGATAGGGAGTTTTTCCAATTAAAATGACAATAACCAAAACAAAATTATTTATATTCAAATTAAGAGTCGCCATTTGGGATAATTTATGGTGTCCCAAGTCACCGGTTTAAAATGACGAATCGTGGAAGTTGACTCTTATTTATGGTCTGCGAACACAGAAATTCGGGTAAGAAATTTTGTCAACCCGGGAGAAGGTCTTAGGCATTCCCGAGTTCTATGGTTTCAGCACGGTCCCTTAACTATTAATAATTTGCCTAATTATCTGAGTAATTACACATTTTTTAAACCTACATGCATTTAACTTTATAACCGCTTTTATTTATTTATGAAATTATTTTCTGGAACAAGTCACAATTGTCGTACACTTTTCGTTTTGGTACTTATTGCAAACCTCATCACATGAAATGCACCCGCGACTTAAAACATGTTTATTTTATTAATATTGGAAGCTATGGTTGGGTCACATGAAATGCACACCCAAATTGAGATTTACGTATTGTGACCATGCCATGAAAACCGTACCCATAGTCACGATGATTATTTACGTGCCGAAAAGTTTGCCTACCCACGTGTGATCAGCCTAAGCATGCTCCTAATGAGTGAGTAAGAAAAGTAAAGCAACATAATCATTTTGAAAACCAATTTTTATTCGTTATCTTATAATATTCAACGCTGACCACAAATTCACTCTTCTCAAAATCCCAATTCTTGCTTTCCAATTTGTACGACAGTAAACATGGTTCTTTAATTCAAAAGCTCATGTTTCAATTCGAATTAATCACAATTACCCCAACATCTTATTCACTGCCTCTATTCAACTCATGCATCACAACAATCACAAGACAATATTCACGAAAGCATACAACTAAAAATTCAATCAAAAATCCAAATCAAACAGATCTAAAAGAAAAGAGAAAAAATGAGAATAAAATAAATAAACCAATCACAGAGAACTGGTTAAAGCATAGTGTGCGAATAATTGTAAATCACCCACATAATAAAATTTAGATTGAACAGGCGGAGGAACGAACCTTAAGCGTTACCGAAACAGTTTTAAAATTGAATTGTTGAATGAACACCTCGCAAGTTTAAACACTAGCAACAATCAAAATTTCAAACGGAACCACGAATTGGAACACTCACGGTACAACCAGGACCTCCAATCGGCAGCGAACTCGAATCCACCTCGACTTAACTCCCTTTTCCAACCAGAATAGAATTTGAAAAGAAGAGACGGAAATCCATATTATTTTTCTTATATTTTTTCGAGTTTGAGGTAGAGATGGAACAGGAGAGATATGATTTTTTGTTTGTTTTTATCTGAATCTGAAAATGAAAGTTAGAATAAAGGAAAAATGAGAAGCCAAAACCAAATCTTAATTCTTTTTCCTACTAATTTCTATTTGAATCCCAATTTTCTTTTGTTTTCTTAAGCCTCTATTTCTCCGGTTTCTGTGTGGCTGGAGGAGGAGTTAGCGGCACTGAGTTAGGAGATGAGGGAGATCGGCGATTTGGTGGTGAGGGAGCGGCTGGTTGTTGTCCCTAGGGGTGGTGCGGCTGAGAGATATTTTGGGCTAGGTTTTTTGTTCTTTTTTGTGTGTGAAGAAGAAAGGTGTTGAAGACTTCAAGAGAGGAGAGAGTCCGTGTTCTGAGGGTCTTCAGGTTTTTTTGTAAAAGGTAAGGGAGGTTAATGGGCTAAGGCCATTGGTTTAATTGGGCTAAAAGCAAGATTAAAATTAGTCCAAAATTAATTCTATTCCCTCCTCCTTTTTTTTAATATGTAAAAATAATATAGCAAACAAGATAAACTATTAAAAATACTAATTAATTTTATTTAAGAAAATAAATTATAAAAATGAAATTAAATATTAAAATGAAGCTACTTTTTTGTACTTTTAGAATATTATACTAAAAATAGGAATGCGAACTTAATATAATACCACCATAAGGATACTAATGAACTTAAATAAATAAAATAAAAACAAACATGTATAATGAGATAAATTAAAACTATTTTTGTATTTTTTGACGTGGCGCTGCTTCAGCTCACTGAGGACATCACCCTTGATAGGAGGGTGTGGAGGTCGAGGATTAAAGCAGAAGGTTAGTAGGTAGTTTATAGTTGTTTACAAATAGTCTTAGTAGCATGCATGTCCCTTCATATTCTTAGATTTCTATTACGTTATGTGGTTGTGTTCGCCTCAGGTATTGTATTCCCTGCTGTTATTATTTGGTACTACTTATCCTTTAT